ACGCAGCCCGTTCCTGGCAGCGTTGCCGCTCCAGTTGGACCTGGACCCGCTCTGCTGCAGCGCACCACCCAGCCCACCTTCCAGAGCGGCCTGCGCGGCAGTGGCTCAGGCGGTGGCGGCGGCGGCGGTAGTAAGCGCTCGGCCGAGTCGCGCAGCCTGAACAGCGGCCCCAACAAGGGTGACTTTGTCGCTGGTGCCAAAAAGAAGAAGAAGCTGGCGGACAAGATATTGCCACAGAAGGTTCGAGATCTGGTGCCGGAGTCACAGGCCTACATGGACCTGTTGACCTTCGAACGCAAGCTGGACGCGACTATCATGCGCAAGCGGCTGGACATACAGGAGGCGCTCAAGCGGCCAATGAAGCAGAAGCGCAAGCTGCGCATCTTCATCTCGAATACATTCTATCCGAGCAAGGAGCCGAGCAACGATGGAGACGAAGGTGCCGTTGCGTCGTGGGAGCTGCGAGTCGAGGGCCGGCTGCTGGAGGATGGCAAGGGCGATCCCAACACAAAGATTAAGCGCAAATTCTCATCATTCTTCAAGTCGCTGGTCATCGAGCTGGATAAGGAGCTGTATGGGCCGGACAACCACCTGGTCGAATGGCATCGCACACACACCACCCAGGAGACGGACGGCTTTCAGGTGAAGCGGCCCGGCGATCGCAATGTGCGCTGCACCATCCTGCTGCTGCTCGACTACCAGCCGCTGCAGTTCAAGCTGGATCCCCGGCTCGCTCGGCTGCTGGGCGTGCACACGCAGACGCGGCCGGTGATAATATCGGCGCTGTGGCAGTACATCAAGACGCACAAGCTGCAGGATGCCCACGAGCGGGAGTATATCAATTGCGACAAGTATTTGGAGCAGATCTTCAGCTGCCAGCGCATGAAGTTCGCCGAGATACCGCAGCGGCTGAATCCGCTGCTGCATCCGCCAGATCCGATAGTGATCAACCATTTCATTGAGAGCGGGGCAGAGAACAAACAGACCGCCTGCTACGACATCGACGTTGAGGTGGACGACACGCTCAAGAACCAAATGAATAACTTCTTGATGAGCACCGCTAGCCAGCAGGAGATCCAGGGCCTGGACACAAAGATACACGAGACGGTGGACACGATCAACCAAATGAAAACGAATCGCGAATTCTTTCTCAGCTTTGCGAAGGATCCGCAAATGTTCATCCACCGCTGGATCATCAGCCAGACGCGGGATCTCAAGGTAAGGCTGGAGAATGGAATCATTCCAAATGACAATTCTAACCATACTGTGTTCTATGACCAGCTTATGACCGATGTGGTCGGCAATCCGGAGGAGGAACGCCGCGCCGAGTTCTACTATCAGCCCTGGACGCATGAAGCTGTATCGCGCTACTTCTTCACCAAGGTGAATCAGAAGCGCGCCGAGCTGGAGCAGGCACTGGGCATACGCAATGGCTAAGCTGTGGACTGAGCTGTTGTGCTCCATCGATGTCAATGTCAATGTCCACGTCCATGTCCAAGCAGTACGGCAAACTCTTTTTTCCTTCGGCAGTTTAGTTTAAGCCCTAAATGCTACACACCCTATACATATATATATATATATACTATATACACAATTCGATCATTTTTTTGCCAACAAAATCAGCGATAGCTGCAAAAACCAACAAATAATAAAAAAAGTGTAATACAAAATGTGAGCGAGGCATTACTTGAGGATTAGCTAGAGCGCAAGAGTAGCGTAGTTGCTATAAGGATTCACTGTAGTTCATACATCAGATGCTAGTCCCTAGGTTCCCATATGCAATGTAGACTTAGATAGACCAGGGAAAGCTTCTAAAGGTTTTAATATATTAGCCAAATGTAAAGAAGCTGTCGATGCTTGAATGGGACAGCCTAGAATCTGGCCAAGTTAGGGCTTGGCATGATCAAGGATAAATCTTAGTCCATGATCTGCCAAGATGTGGCAAGTTTCGAATCTAGTCTATGACTCGGCTCTGTCAAGCCTCTAATCCATCACAGAATAGAATCTAGCCTGATCTAGGATCTGTAAGTCTAGAATGTGACATAGTCTACAAGCTAGCAAAACTCCAAGACTTCATCCAAGATGTGCTCCAAAGTATGCTTATGGGATCTGGCATTGTCTACTACGCAATAAAGTCAAGGATCTGGTAATTCATCTATTACTTAAAATATTACCAACCGGGAATCGTAAGGTCTAATCAAGGCAAATCGGAACTCCAATCTATGTGAAAAGGTTTTATAGAGGATTGGCTTTAGCTCGCCTCTGGATGAAGAGATCTTTCTATAGGATATATGCATATGGAGCGGATGTAAAGCAAAACACTTGATGGCGAAATTTGATTAATTGAAGATGCTTGCATTTGCTACAATTAACAGTTACATGTGTGTTTGTTGTGTGTGTGCGTGTGTGTTTGTGTGTGTGTGTGTGTGTGTGTGCGTGTGTGTTTATGATGGATTACAGCCTAAATAAATCGACGGAATGTTCAACTGCATATCAATAGACATGAATATACATGAAAGCAGTTGCTTCTCTCTTCTATAAAGCTCTCGCTCTCGCTCTAGCTCTTGCTCCTCTGTCTCTATCTGTGTCTAGTCCTGCTTGGGGTGGGTGTTGTCGCCAGCTGGCGGGGCTGTCTCATCAATGGACACGCCGGAGTCGACGCGAGTCTTGTCCACGGGATAGAGCCAGCGTTGATAGAGATAGATGATGAAGACAATGTCGTCGCGCAGACAGGCGACGCGATGGGCCGTTGGCATGGTGATGATGAAGGCGAAGAAGTCGTCGATGAAGGTGTTGAATGCTTTGTACATGAAGGCGCGCCAGGGCAGAGCCGCCACCGACTTTAGCTTGTAATTGACGAACAGCTGGGGCAGCATGAACAGGAAGCCGAAGGCATAGACGCCGTTCACCAGCGAGTTGAGTGTCCAGCTGTACCAGGAGCGGTGCGGCTGATAGAGCAGCGAGTAGACAGCGCCGCCCAGACACAGCGGATAGAGCAGGTAGCTCAGGTAGCGCATGCCCTCCCGATCGAACTGCTGCGTCTGCTGCTCGGCCAGCTGGCCGGGCTCTGGCTGCTCGGCCTCCTGCAGCTTGCGGGTGATGAACGAGGTGAAGGTGAAGTGCAGGCGCAGGATCTTCTTGCATTTCCACAGCTCGATCAGCGTGCCGAGGCCGACGGGAATGAGCACCAGATAGGAGGTCTGTTCGTCCAGCAGATAGAGGAAGATGACGAACTGCGAGAAGGCGCGCCACAAGGTGGTCCGTGTGGACAGGCCCTCGTAGGACTGCTTCTTGCGCCAGAAGGCGACGTCGTTCTTGAAGCTCAGGAAGTCGAAGAGCATCTGCAAGGGCGACAAAGAGAGAGGAGAAGGGGAAGGAGTAAGTGCATCAGACAGATCTCTTCAGCTGTCTAGCTACTCACATGCACGCTGGACACAAAGATGGTGCCACAGAGCAGATAAACGTTCGTGTCGGAGAAGATGCCCTTCACCTCGTCGATGTCCTTCTCGGCAAAGCCAATGGACTTGAGCGCCAGGGTGGCGTGCTCCATGAGCAGCATCAGTCGCAGCTTGCCCATCCCAACGGGCCTGTAGTGGAAGCTGAATGTGAATTCGGTGGTGTTGCTGGTCACCGGCACCAGGTGCTTCAGTCTCGTGTTGAACATGTCCGTCTGCAGGATGGGCAAAATCTGCTGCATGCGATTCACGCGGATCAGCGGCGCCAGTTCGGGCGGCAAGTCCGCCTGGGAGAGAGCGAACATGTCCGTCAGCAGGGTCACGTAGACGTTCGAGCGAATGTGTGTGCTGGGCTTATCCGATTTAACGGCTTGATTCTTTTTCTTGAGCTGCTGCTGCTGCTGCTCGGTGGACTCCGTCTTCTCGTTTTGATTGATCAGATTAAATGTCTCGGCGCGTGGCACCATATAGTCGCAGAGATTGAGCGTGTGCAGCACCGTGGGTCCATCGCGCTTCAGGGTGCGCCATTCCAGAGGCTCGCCCTCCAGGGCCAGCCCGACGTGCAGAAATAGGGTGCCATTGCGTCGGGTCTTCAGCGGCACGTCGATCTTAAAGTCGTGGTCGAAGGGCTGCGCATAGTCGAAGCGCTTCACCTTGTACACCTCGGTCACCTCATTGGCGATGGGATTCCGGTTCTGTGAGCTGAACAGGGCCAGCTGCATGCGTGGACGCTCGGCCAGGAAGGAGGTGTAGCAGGGCGAGCCAGTGCACTGCAGACCCCTGAATAGCTGCGACATTTGGTAGATCGAGTGGAGGATGTAGGCCAGGAATACCACGCCCACCACCGTCGTGATCGAAGGCATGGCCATGATGCGGCACGGTTCCGGAACCACGGAACCAAAGCCAAGTCCACCAGCGACTGCGGTCTGCCTGATTTCCCAACAATTCGTGCGAAATTCCAACAGAGGATATGTCGGAGGAAACCGATTTGTTGCTTATTTAATTAAAGGCCAGAAATGCCGGCGTAGCAAAGTTTCAGTGTTGCAAAATTCGCACAAGCTTTAGTCGAATGGCGCAAGCTCATGCAGCCTTGCGACTAAATTTCGAACTCACAAAATATCGGCAGCAATTAAAATGTTTGATGGGAAAAGAGCGGGGAGAAAATGAAATAAGAGAATGTAATTAAATTATGAATAGTGCTGACATTTGCTAAACTTTTAGTTTAGCTTAGTTTGAAAAGCGGCTAAAAAATACCGAAAACAATAGCACCATTTTGGTATATTTGCTGTTACAAATACCCAAAGTAGGTACACTAATGCTATGTGCAGCCCTGGCTGAGAGAAATGTTTCGTTCAGCAATGTGACCAGCTTCAGTTAAACCGCCAAAGAAATACAATTCAAATTCAATAATAAATTTCCGTTTTTATATTTTTTATTTGGTAGCAGTTTTATTCAAAGGTTTATATATATTACACATATAT